CCATGGGCATCTTGGGGGTGAGGTAGTGACATATATCTGAGAAGGTAGGAAACTACTCCCCTAAATGTTATACAGTGTTGTAAACCAATATTACCTCAATAAAGAAGGAAAAAAAGATTAAACCACACACCCAAAAGCCTGGTTTAAATGGCCTGGTGAATCTTCCTAACATATGTTACAGCATTGAGTAACATCAGAGGGTCAGAATTGACTGGGAATTTCACCAGATTCTATTTTTTTATTATTACTATTTTTTAATTTTATATATTTTTACATCATTTTTCATTTTTGCACAATGTATGCATTTTCATCTTGGTTATAGTCCCCATACAATTCCCACCCCCACCTTGTTTGATCCTACTCCCTCCTCCCCCACCCCGTAGTGTGTCTCTGGTTTATAATTGCTTGTTGATTTTTACTTTATTATAATTAGTCTTTTTTCCTGGTCCCTTATTTAGGTTTTCTAAATTCCTGCTATGAGTGAGACCATCTGGTATTTTTCTTTTCACAATGGAATATTACTCAGCAATCAAAAAGATAAACTCATGCAATTTGCAGCAACATGGATAGAGCTGGAAGGGATCATGCTCAGTGAAATAAGACAGTAAGAAAATGAAAAATATCACCATTGATTTTAGACCAATACATATTTGTATATATGCAGCTTAAAAGAATTAAATACTCTAAGATTTCTTTTCACTTGAAAAACAGAAACCAAAGAACACTTTCTGACACGTACCAGCCACCCCCTCTACCTTCCTGTGCACCGCCCCCTTCACAGAGGCCCACAACACCTAAACCCAAATGAGGTCTGCAGCTCCTGGCGTCTCACACCTTGGCTCTGGTTAGGGCCACAGCCTTCTCTGTCTGACCAGAGAAGAAGTGGTGGGCAAGGTACCCTGGAGGCAAAGCCAGCAGGAGCATGTGGGACAGAGGCCCAGAAGAGCAGCTTCTCCCAGGGGCCAGGGCTGCAGGGAGCTGTTCCCAGAGCTGCGGTGCCCCAGCAGCAGCCACAGGCTCCAGCAGCACAGCTCTGCCCAGGTTTGCAGAGACTGATCCTTCACCCACAGCCCTGACCAGCATCTGCTGGCCCCCTTTCCATTTCTTTGCCAAAATAAGCTGACTGTGGAATTGCAACAAGACTGGTGCCTGGAGAGCCGTTCCAAGAAGAGGGGCGAGCGAGCAGTGACTCAGGGCCACCTGCTAGCTGATCTAGTCATGAGCACACACAAATATTCCAGGACCACTCCGGAGCATCCAAGCCCCTGGTAGTTTCACAGAAGGGACAGGTAAGGTGCTCAGCCCCTCTGAGCAGCCAGGGCAAGGAAGCCACAGCAGCTGTCCTGCCCTCCTGCACTCCACGCTTCCTGTTACCTACAGGTCGGCTGACCATCTCCAAGGAAGCTACTTTCCGTCCATCTATCTGGTTCGTGAGGCACTGAGAGCACTGAGTGGGGAGCACACGGTCCATAGAGGCAACAGAAAGAGGACATCGTGCCAGGAGAAAACTCTAGAGGGTGTGTTGTCTCTCCTTGCACCAGCAGTAAGTCCACAGGTATTTGTTTGTGGTCGTAAAAGAGATCGAGCCCCTTCCCTCACTCACTGGCTTCTTATTCCCTATGCTCAGCCACTCACTGGCCCTGGGCACTCAGACACACAGCCTGCCCTCCCAGCATCCAGGAGTTCACATGGCAACCAGTAAAATGGAGCTCTCAGCACTGTGGGGCTGTGAGGGCAAAGCCACGTATGGGGGACTGGAGAAAGGGATAATGGACGTGTCTGGGTCAGGGGTGGGTGAGTAGAGCAGGTGAGATGCGGTAGTTCTTTACAAGTGCATCTCGTGAGCAACTGAGTCTCAATGTGTGTCCTGGACTCATGCAACATCCAGGGGCGTTGCATCACAGAGGAAACTGGCTTCAAGGTTGTTTGTGGAATAGGGATAAAGCTACTACCTCCTGAGCACAGAGAAACACAAGGAAAGGGAGGCCCTGCCTAGTTACTCTGTGATAGAGATGCCTTCCTGCTCCTCGGGGCAGCCTTCTGCCCACACCCCAGGGTCTGTCTTGCCACCTTCACCCTGACAGGGACGGCTGCACCTGACCACACTCACCAGAGTCCTTCTCTGCAAACTTGAGACTTAGACCAGACTGTCTCTGGGGACTCCCTGGTCTGCGAAGCTATGAAGAAGCTATGAAGGCTACAAGGCTATTTTCTCCACACTCGTGGAGAAGCAAAATCTCAATCTACTGTCACAGTCCTAATGTGGAAAACACCCAAATACCTGTGAGCTGCTGAGGACTCACAGAATGTGATGGATTCATGAAATGGAATGTTAGCAGGATGGAGAAAAGGGATGAATCAGTTGCAACATGAATGAACCTCATAAAATAAGCCAGACACAAAATCCACATGGTATCTGGTTCCCTTGGAGGAAATGCCCATCGAGGCAGAAGGCAGAGTCACGGAGGCAAGAGCAGGGAGAGGGAGGATTAGGGAGTGACTGCTCCCTCGCTCGCTCGCTCACTGGGCTCAGGATTTCTTTTGGGAGATGAACATGTTCTGAAATCAGTTAGTGATGATGGTGCACCACCTCTCACTGAACCAGGAGCCAGTGCATTCTACACTTCAATGTGGTTAAAATGGGGAATCTTATGGGAATTTTACCTTGAAAACAATATATCGGTCTGAGTTGCTCTTGGTTTCATTTAGTGCGTGTCTATCAAATTAAAAATTTCCAACTACCATGTAAGCATTTATATGACTGTCTTGTCCAGGACTGGGACTCAACCTGAGTCCTGGTGACTCCTCATCCAGCTCCTTCTCACCCCGACCCTGCCTTCCTTGGAGAGGAGACCCAAAGGCATCCTTTCAGCAAACACTATTTCCCAAAACCTGCCCACAGGTGGTGTGTGTCCACCCAGGTATGTGTCATTTGGGTCCTGGCACCAGAAGCCCAGCTTTATTAAGAGACTGTTAGCAGGTCTCTTGGATTCCCTGCCTCTAGAGAATTGTTAATGGCTCCTACGAGCATAGGCCATTTTTCAGCAAAATCTAATATTTATGTCATTTCCAGCAAAGAACATTTGAGGCTCCTATGATGTATCACTCTTCGCCTTGCTCCACGGCACAGGCCAGACAAATCGCTCCTCCATCTGTCACCCCATCCCTTTGCCCCTCCCAGGTAGAGGGCAGGTTCACATTTGCAGAAACAGGAAAGAGGTGGAGGTGACCAGACAAAAAACAAGTCATGCTGGATCTAGAAGAGAACTTTTCACATAATAACCACTACTGGTGAGGACAGAGGGAAAAAGTTACCCTCATATGCCCTCCTACACTGCTGGGAAGTAGACTGCTCCAGCCCCTATGGAAAACAGTATGAGGCGCCTCAAAAAATTAAAAATAGATCTACCATATGACCCAGTCAACCCACTTCTGGATAGTGACACAAACACCATGGAAACACTTATTCAAAAAGATATCTGCACTCCGAAGTTCATTGCAACACTATTCACAATAGCCAAGATTTGTAAACAATCCAAGTGCCCAACGGCAGATGAGTGAATAAGGCGATGAGGTCTTATACACCATGGAACACTACTCAGCCATATAAAACAATGAAATCCTGCCATTCGTGGCAACATGGGTGCAACTGGAGGGTGATGCTAAGTGAATAAGTCAGAAGTGAAAGACAACACCATACAATATCACTCTTGTGTGGAATATAAAGGGAGAAAAAAAAAGGTAAATGAACAAAACAAAAACAAATCCTGAGACTCTGACAACAGATGATGGTCACCAGAGGGGGCGTGTGAGGGATGGGCAGCAGGGCAGATGGGTGGGTGGTGGATGGCGACTGGACATTTAGTGGTGGGCGTGGGGTGACACAGACAGTTGCTGAGGTGAGAGATTGTAGACCTGAAACTTGTACAGTGTTGTCAACTAGTGTTTCTTCAATTAAAAAAAAAATTGAGGTGAGAGTGATATGGTAACATACATAAGAGGAGGTGTGAACCAAGTCATACACAGCTTTGTAAACCAATGACACCTCAATAAAAAAAAAAATGTTGCAGAAAAAAATGACTGATAGCCAGTGATTCTGTTTGTTACAGCTGAAATAGTGTCAATAGCAGAGTTTAGAGAGGCCAAGTTGGCGGGGGCAAGGGCTTACCTACCTCCAGACCCTCACAAGTAGATGAGGTGTGTGCACGAGTGTGTACCCAGCACTGGGCTCACATCCTACACCTGCTATCTCACGTGGCAGGGAGCAAGGAAGAAACTGAGGCTGAGCACGGTCCATGATGGACCCTGAGTTCAATATCAGGCTGGTGAAGAAGTGGATCTGATCTGAAAGGGCCGTGTTCTAAACCACCACCATCTAATACAACCATCTACTAACAGCAAATAGAGTCCCCTACTTGTGGAGTGGAAGAAAATGTGCACAGCTCTCCGTGATTTCCAAGAGATCTCACATTCAGCACATCTGAAACAATGAAATCACAAAGGGCTGCAGCTCCCTGTGAGATTCAGACTACCTGCAATGCCAGCAGAGGAGTGGGGGGTCTTTCTAGAAAAGGGTGCATTTCAATAATGAACAAGAAAGTGAGGAGGGCAACATAATCAGGAAAACAGCGAAACAAAACCTAAGGTGGGAATGAGGTGCATGTCCCTTCATTCCCAATGTGAAACAAAGTCAACAGGTATCAGAAAAGTACTTGTTTGGGGGTTTCCTACCTGTGGACACCCCAAAATATCAAAGGTAATAATAACGGCAGTTGATGGACTGGTTTATTGACAGATGAGCCCATCTGGCGCTGAGCACTATGGATGGTATCTACTCTGTAGCCAGCACATTTCCCTGTGGATAATTATTACACACATGCATCTGCAGGCCGTTCAGGTGTCTCAAAGCTGAAGCCCAGCCCAGCCCCTCTGGGAGGCCTGATGACCCCATCTACACTGCTGGAGTGTCAGCACTGAACCATCGCTGGTTCAGAGATGACCTGTTGTAGCTGACAAGAGGACTTCCTCCTGAAAAAATAGAGAGGTTGGAGTTACTGGTGCCATCTTGCCAAGGTGATGAGATCATATTATATTGTTGGAAACCTGAACCCAGTCCTGCTCCTGGGCTTTTCCCTTTGGATGAGCAATGGATTACCTGCCACCTTATGCAGGTCTGGAAGAAGTCCTAATCAATGTCAGCACTTAGAAGCAGCTCACAGTGCCCACAGCACTGCCTGGAGGTAGACATCAGTTGCAGGCATGGCTCCCCCTTTCCAAGGTGAGGCTTGAGACGCAGGGTAGCAGGGTTAAATCACCTGCCAGGTGGCAGCGGCAGGATTTGAATCCAGGCATGTGGTCTGGAGCCGGGCTCCCCATGCCCTAGACAGCTGGCTGCAGTCTAGCTCTGTGAGAGGAAACAGGACTCTCCGCCAGCCTAAAATAAGTCTTCTCACTCAAAATAGTTCTGAAGGCTTAAAATACCTCAGTGGGTGTAAATTTTCTCAAGCTCCTTTACATTTGCTACGATCCCTTTTTGGCTGCAGTTGTCTCCCTGAAAAGAATCATTTAAGCAATAAAAATGTCTCTCCCCCAAGTCATCCTTCAACTGCTGATACTTCGCTTTCCCCCAAATTACAGATAAAAATAACAACGCAGAGAAGCAGAGACTACACGCTGCTAAAGAGGACAGAGGAAAGGCAAGAGCAGGAGATCCTGACCAGATGTTCCTGGGGTGGCATACGAGAAGCTCCAATCAACCCTCACTGGTAATTTTTGGAGTCTGTTTCTTCACTGAAGTGTGTTTTTGTCCATCACACAAAGTCTTAGGCAGATGGTGTGGGGGTGGGGGCGAGCACAGCTGCTCGTTCCTGAATGCTTTGGAAAGTCAAAAATTCAGTCAATCCCGGCTGGAAAGACAGTGGGAGCAGACAGGTTTGCCTGGGCAGTTTTCTCTCTTGGTTCAGTTTCCCAGAGATATGCTATAGACATGCGTCCTTGAAGGAATAAGAAGTTGAATCTGGTGGCGCAAGGGGTTAAGCACAGCACTATGAAGCTATCCAAAAAGGCTCTGCAGCACGAGTTCGATCCCCGGCTGGCCAGGGAGCAACCCACATGGTGCAGCAGACCTCTCCTGTCTCGCCTGCTGCTCCCCTCAGCAGTGTATTTCAGTCAGTCTGCCTATTCTGTTCCCCACTCTGTCGTTGGTGAATCCTCTCACACCCCCACACCTCTGGCCTGCACCCCAGCTCTTGTATGCATAAATAAATAAATGTTAAAAAAAGAAAAAAGAAGTTGCATCTGGAAATGGAATGAATGAGGAGACTGAGCCAGGCCATACCAGGGCTGTAAAGGACCCACAGACCTCTCGGTATTCCCCAGCCAGCTCCAGAGGGCTCTCCAGCCACAGGTTTGCAAGCTCGATTAGGTCACAAGGGTGTGGGCTGGAGGGTGGACTTCCAGATCAGGCTGCTCTGACTCCTTGTGAGCCTCGGATTGTCAATTATGAAATGACATAGCAACACGTTTCAGGTTTTGTTGGATTCAGGTAAATAGCAAGGAGAGAGAGCAGCCTAGGGAAGGAAAACCAGAGCGTGGGTATCAGAAAGAGCAAGCTCCACATCACAACTCAGTGATCCCATCTTTCAAGGCCACTCAGTGACCTTGAACAAGATATTGAGCCTCACCAGCTTCAGTTCTTCATCTGTAAAGTGAAATAAATACTGCCTGCTTCTTGGGGCCTTTGCCAGAGCTAATGAGAAAATGCACTGAGCATTGTTGCTCGCCCAGCATAAAGAAAAATAAGATTGACCACCACATTGTATTAGCCATATTAATAAAGTTTAAGACTGTCTATAATTGGGAAAGCAAAACCACCCTTCCCAACAAAAGCCATGCCTGGCAAATGGTGACAATGTAACATGTGGCTACAAGTGACAATTCTTGTTGGGAAGGGCAGCATAACAAAACACAGAGATGTGAGTCTATCTAAAAAGTCCCAAACATAGGTTAACCAAAAAAAGAATTATCTTCTGACAAATGTGACACGTTGGGTGCCAACAATAGGCAGGTTAGGGTGCAGGCCCAGCCCTATGGCCAAGTCTGGCCACTTCCATCATGACCCGTCATCTCTGCCCTAAAGTTGATCTTTTGGGAAACTTATGCTTTAGTCACACAGGAAGGGGTGGCATTCTCCCTCCAGGACCATCGCTACCAGGTGAATCCTATGAAACTGATCCAAGAAAGGACATTTTGTCATGTATGGGTCTGCAGCCTATGAGTCATCCCGCCCTCCTCAGGACTGAGCAGCATGTGCTTGGCCAGAAACCCTTGCTTTTGACCAGACAGGTAGGTGCCAGGCAAGGCTAGGGCTGGACCAGAGCATCGGGCAGATTGGCTGTAGTAGCTGCCAGCACAGGGACTCCTTTTTGACCTGGTGTGTTGGCCTCAAGGTGGCATCCTCCAAAGGAGTGAACTTGTTTACAGAAATCCACAGAGAGTTCCCACATCTCAGACTTGGAAGCATTCAGTGTCCACCCCACGCAACTTACTGTGTAATTGTCTACCATCTGGTAGTAGTCTGGCCTGTGAGTCTCACACAGAGAGGACAGAATACTGGATCAGGAACCCAGACCCCAGCTTATGGCCCATCTGTCACTGATGCCGTCATGACCACAGCCATACACGGCAGCCACGGAGGTGAGGCATGTCTCATGGTCCCTCTTCCAGGAGAGACTGACTGTCCACTGCAAAAAGGATGGACACTTGAAGAAGAAACTTGAAGGTGCATCTCAGCTTTTGATCAAAGGCTACAATGATTTTCCAGGAGGAAGCTGTCCAGGACCAGAGATGGTGGGTACAAAGACCCAGATATTTCTGTTCAACATGAGACTCTTCCAATGCTCAGACTGTGCCCTGGAGCTCTGTCCACCCCCCCCCTACTTTCTTATGTGTGAGAGGGCACCACCCTTGCAAGCTTTCCCCATCCATCCCTCCCTCCCTCCCTCCCCACCCCTCAGCTCTTGCTGCCTGAGCCGCTACTCATCCTCACTACCTCTGACCTGGACACCCAACTTGGTGCTTGCCTTTCTAAACCTCTGTGGGCTTTTCTCCTGAGCAGACACAAAAATAATAGATGGGCCTCCCTGGTGGCTCAAGGGGTTAAGCCACAGCACTATGAAGCAATCCACAGCCACTGTAACATGAGTTCGATCCCTGGCCAGGAAGGTGACCCACATGGCACAGTAGATCTCTCCCGTCTCACCCACTGCTCCCCTCAGCAGTGTATTTCAGCATATCTGCCTGTTCTGTTCCCCACTCTGTCTCTGGTGAGTCCTCTCACCCCCACACTTCTGGCCAGTTCTTGTATGCATAAATAAAATCTTTTAAAAAAATAATAGAGGAAGACAGAGATGACAGCCTCACTGGATAATATTTCAAGTTATAGAGTACCCCCCAATTGCACCACACTCTCCAAGTACCCCACTACCATGTGCCCCGAGGGTTTCTTTGTTTGCATTGGAGAATGACTGACAAGGCAGAAAAGCACTTTCTCAGGTACACTTTGGAGTCGCAGGAGCTCAGCTGCTGATGTTCAAACATCCAAGCATTAGGGAGAATGTGCCCTAAAAGAAGAGCTTTGTCTGCAGCCTTATCCCAAACCTACACGATTGTGGGGAGAAGTTGCTGCAACTAGTGATCTTGTAATGAAGGATTAAATGAATTGAGACAAAAGGAAAAAGGAAGGAGGCCTGGGGATGGGGTGCGAGGGGTGCAGAACTTGGGGTTGAAGGGACTGAACCTGGAGAGCACTTGAGGGGAGCCAGCAGAATCCTCATTGAGATGGGCCAGGGAACTGCCCTTGGAGAAAGTACAGGCCTTCTCCCAGCCCTTGGGCCCAAGGCTCCAGCACCAGAGACCTCCCTCCTCCCATCACAACCTGTGGGAGGGTCACCCCTGTGGGACTTGAGACTTGGCTCCATCCCCATGCAACCTCCCCCAAAAGGACCACCTCTCCTCAACTGCTTGGGTGCTTCCCGAGAGAAAAGGTGAAGCCCACATACCTCAGGGAACAGTGCAGGATGGGGATGTGGGAAGAAAGGCAATCCCCACCCCAACTTAAACAAGGACAAGGAAGAAATACTAATAATGATAATCATCTATTAATATTTTATATTGTTCTCTATTTACCTATCTCCTGACTGTTCCTTGCAGACACACCTGTGAGAAGGTGACCCTGCCATCCCCATTTTCCTGACACAGGGATGAAGTGGAATTACAGGTGGGACCCACCGCGGGTCTGTCTCATTATACTCCCTGCACCATGTGGCACAAGAAATGTCTCAGATGCTTCTGCCTCCCCGGCTCCCCCTCCACACTCTGCCTGGTCCTAGTCAGCTAGAAGATTCTCAATAAACATGTTGTGCTTTGACCAACTGATTCAGCTAGTTTTCCCTCGCTGGAAGAAAAAGCTGCTTAAAACACGTCTCCTTTCGCTCACCACTGACATGGCTCCAGTGCTGCTGCCTGGAAGGAGGTGGGTGGCGGAGCCTACTGCAGGGAAGGATCATATTACAGTCCTTTCATCTGACAGGAGAAAGACTGATTCGAGTCAGCCACACCTGTCAGGAGGGTTAACCCGGTTCTTCATTTGTTCCTCGCCGCGAGCAGCAATCCAGCTATATCTCAGGAATGAGCTCTTCACGCCTCAAATTGCTAATAGACACCGTGGATCTGATGAATGTCTTCTCCTTAATCATTTATACCACTCGATCTATTTTCAAAGGTTAGTCTTACATTAAAATTACAATTCTGAATAGGTCAGCCTGTTATTTAAGCATAAATTGTATCACCCCATCCCTCGTGTTAGTGTTGTGTTGGGGTAATGAGGTTTTTATTTCTAGCCCCTGTGAAGCCAGGAAGGAAGTGGCTTGCCTGACCCCACCTCTCGCACCCCAAATCTTCCCTGAGTCTTGCTGTCTCTGTCAGTGACCAACCCACACTTCCAGATCTGTTCCCATTCCTGCCCTCTAGTTTCTCTTGTACATTTCTCTCCCCACTTTCCCTCCTCACCCCACCACCGCCTTTCTAATCAAAGAACCCCCATTCCAGTCCACAGCTCAGCAAGAGCTTATCCCTGGTCCCTTCTAGTCATTTCTGAAGAGGTACCAGCTGGAAAGAAGATGCTCAGGCTGTGCAGCATCGTCCACTGAGCAAATGCGAGCAGGCTGGCCCCATGCTTAGTGGGGAAAAACCTAGGGAGAAGTTATTTGAGTCCCAGAAGATCCCGTCATGTTGGTGAACCTCTCCTTGTTCCAGAACTCTCCACATGATGGAAAGAACATGGGCTGTGAAGTCAGAATGTCCCAGATTCACATCTAACATTCTTAGCAATTCTAATGACTTCACAATTAGGGGCAAGAACTTGCTCTGGGAAGCCATCATTTCTTCCATGAAATGAGGACAGTAAGACCTTACTCAGAGGAGCATTTTAAGAGTTTAAAATGGGAAAAATATTGCACAGACAGAAACACAACAGGAGACAGTCAATACAATTTAGGTCAATGAATCACTGATGAATGGACAATCTGTAAGTAAATGTGGTTATTATCAGACAAATCTTTTTAAATAAAAAAATTGCCTGGCCAAGATGATTACACTTGGCAGGATGAGGAACAACAGGGGGTTCCCTTGCTGAAGAGTGGCTCAGAGCGCAGGCCTGCAGCTCCAGCCTCAAACTCTGACCTCTCCATGGACCAGCGGTGTGACCTCCAGCAAGGAGCCAAATGACCAGTTTCCTAGTCTCTAAGTGTAATGGCAACCCCCACACTCCACAGGGCTGGGGAAGGCTTAAAGGGGAAAATGCCTCGCAAAGTCTTGGTGTCGTCAAGAATCAGCCCTCTGTAAGGGGAAGCTGTCACTGCTCACACTGAACAATAAGGAGCAGAGAAGTGTTTCTTCTGCATCTGCCTTGTGGCACAATTACAAAAGTTGACTGAGAAGCTGCTTTGGAACCAGAACATAGACAGACTTGGAAGAATTTGGTGATGACAGTGACAATGATGATGACAACCATAGGGATGCAGGAGAGAGGAGGGGTGAGTAGAGACAGAGGGAGAGGGAGGGAAGCAAAGAGGGGAAGAGATGGGGAGGGAAGAGGATGAATAGGAGGAGGAGGCCCGACAGAATAAATGACTGATGGGACCAAAGGCGAACACCCCGAGGCCTCCTCCACTCCCCCTGTGTGCATGCACACAGACACGCCAGCAAGATACAGAGTTGGTTTGTTTAATTAAAGGGTAATTTCTGTTGTTGCTCTGAGTGTTCACAGTCAGGAAGTTCAGATGCGAGAGAGGCTGGAGTAGCTGGGAGAACTTAATTGATACTCTAAAGCTGTTGATTACAAATATGCTCAGGAGGTAGATAAGTTCACACTGTTTTATGGTGAGAGGGCTTTTTATTGGTAATTTCATGTAACTCTGAAATTGGAAGCTCCACTGATCTGGAGGTTTCCATGTAAATGTTGGGAGCATTCCCAGCTCCTATCCTTGAAGAGCTGACCCTGGAGCCCCCCTCTTCAAGCTGCCATTTTTGGGGTGAAGAGTTTGCTCTGAAGAGGCCAAGAGAAAGAAACATGGTTCTTCAGAATGACTGTTTCTACAATTCCAGGGGTGTCCATTGCCCTGTAGCCGGTGTTTCTTAGGGTGTCTGAGGGTTCTTGCAGCCGCTGCCATCAGAAGCCCCTCTGAGCAGACTTGCTGGGGAAGAGGTGACAGAAGAGGGCCAGGCTCAGCACCTGACAGAAGCTTCGAGAATGGACTCCCCAACGTGGTTCCCACTTATGTTCCTGCGTGCTCTTCACTGGTGGCCTGCCTTGGCCTGCCCTCTTCTCCATCTCCTGTACGTCTGCAACCTTCTCTCTCATTAGCCCAGCTTCTCTGCTCCTTCAGGAATGTAACGTATGATTACATCACAACTCCCAAACATTTAGCTGAGAACTGGCCCCAGAAAAGAGACTTTTAGGTGAGGTTGAGTCTCATGACATGACTGCCAGGGGCTTTGGAGACAGTTTTCAGAGAAGGGTCAGAGGCTGATAATCTCCTGATAGGGGAGGTCTACTGCACTGAGGCCTGGAAGGTCTGAAGACAGGTTTGTTTTTTTTTTTTTTTTGAGATTTATTTATTTATACAAAAACTGGTATATAGGCCAGAGGTGCAGGAGGGTGAGAGGATTCACCAAAGACACAGTGGGAAGCAGAACAGACAAGTGGACTGAAAACACTGCTGAGGGAAGCAGCCGGCGAGACAGGAGAGGTTTGCCGCACCATGTGGGTATCAACCTGGCCGGCCTGGAGTCGAACCTGCACTGTAGAGGCTGCGGACAGCTTCACAGATCTGTGTTCAACCCCCTGCGCCACCAGGGAGGCCCAAGACAGGTTTTTAAATCCTAGAGGTGAGGCCCAACCCTTGACTAAAGACATCAGCAAATGTCCAGCACACTTACCTACTGCTTCCTTAACCTGGGAGGAGCTCAGAGGTGTGTGCTGCTCCCAGTCAAAGACATCTTCATGTGTGAGAGGAGACAGGAGCCACAGGTAGAGCTAGCCCTTAAACTCCCCTGTACTAACAGTTCAGTTTGTGATTCTTCCTTTTCATGTTGAATATGGAAGGTGAGTACCCCCAAAGCCCATGTCAGAACAACACACATTGAGGTGACAACACACATTGAGGTCATGTGGGCTTGTTATTTCTGCTGAGGATGTTAGCATGACTTAAGTTATACCCACACAACACAAAATTAAATACCCAGCTGGATTAAATACCCAGCTGAATTATCAATACATCATATTTTCATAATGGCTGCTTCCTTCCAAGAGTATTGTTGTGAAAGTTTTCTTATAACTCATTTGGCCTCACAAGACCAGGGCTATTTCTTCCCATTTGACAGCAGGCAAATCTGGGGGTTGGAAAGATGAAGATATTTCCCAAAGTCAAGTGATCAGTGAGTAGCTGAGCCAATACTAAAATCCCCATCTTCTCATTTATGTTACATTGCTTGGCTTCCCTATAGACAAATGTCTTGATGTTTTTCCCTGGGCCCCTCCAGAGCCATCCTCAATGGACCCCATCCTGCTCTGTGCCCTGGGAGGATGGCTTTATCCTCTGTTGACAGAATCCCTTGACCTCTAGCTCTGAGTGAGTTGAATCAATGAGAGGCACTAAAAGTAATACAGTGAGATGGGAGCACATCTTCCCTGGATCCCTTCCCACTAACTCCCTGACAAAGTCACCAACCGGACAACCATCCTTTCTCAGGTTCCAGAGGCTCCTCCCTCCTTTTTTTTTTTTTTTAAGATTTATTTATACAAGCACTGGGTATAGTCAGAAGTGCAGGAGGGTGAGAGAATTCACCAGAGCCAGAGCGGGTTGCAGAACAGGCAGAAGGACCGAGGTACACTGCTGAGGGGAGCAGCGGGCGGCAGGAGAGGTCTGCGCACCATGTGGGACCCTTGAGGGCGGCCAGGAATCTAACCAGCATTGCAGAGGCTGCGGGCAGCTTCGCAGCCTAGCGCTCAACCGCTGCGCCACTAGGGAGGCCCTCCTCCCTCCTCTTGACCTTTCAGGCCCACGAGCAGTATCTCCTGACTGTGCCCTCTCTTATGTCCCTTAATCCTTTCCCTCAATAAACTCACCAGAAGCACCCTTTGGAGTGTCTGACCACAAACTAACTGATCAACAAACTAACAAAGGTGCCATCACTCTCGATTGAGGCTTATGTAGACAATTAATGGGCCTACCCTTCTGGGAGAATCGACTATAAGCTCACAACTTGTTACCCATGAACATTCTGGTCACTTTGGCCAAAGGGCCACACTGCCTTCCAGCTTCACCCATACCAGAGGAAGCATCATTTGCTGGGCTGGATCTCACATAGACTGGAACCCCCTGCCACATTCAAACTTTTCATATTTGGGTTTCTCTCTGTTCCTTCACAGGACAAATTCAAAGAAGCTGAAGACCTTGGAAAATGGCGGGGGGGGGGAAGGGGGCGCACAGAATGATAAAGAAACAGAGAGGACAAGAACCTGATAATTCTTATCTAGAACTACAGAAGTGAATGACCACAAGAGACAACCCAGCCACTGCCTATGGAGTGGAGCTCACGCAGCTGTTCGTCCTCTGATATTTTTTCCTGCCGAAAACTAAATACAGAGAGTGGCTGATTTAAAAGTATTTTAAAACACCAGACATAAAGAACAACTTTTAAATGGGTCACCAGATTCCTCCCTCTTCACCCAAAACACACACATAAGAAGTCAACTTTCCCCAGGCAAATCACTCTTATCCTGTTTCGGTGTTTACTGGCCCTGGCAGCCTGTGCTAAAAGGACAAGCAACTATCACCCCTCAGAGGACAAATGTTCTCAACTGGGGCAGCTGCTCTGTGGCTCCCCACATTCCCAGGGCCCAGCACAGAACCCGGCACACACAGACATTCAGGAAACGTTCTTAGAGAAAACTGAGTCGCTGCAGGATTCTGGAAAGTGCTAGAACAGTTGAATCATGTCCAAGAGACAGAGAAGAGAAAAAGATGGAAGAGGCTTGACAGGGGTTTGGTTGGATCATCAGTTTCCTATCTCAGCTTCCCTTCCTGCTCTCAGATGCTTGGGGAGAGCAGTTTCCTCAAGATTCTTTTCTCCAAGGCCTCCCAAACTTGGCCACGATAATGCAAGTTGCATTTCCACTTGAGTTGTGTCTGCCCTTTCTATAAAAGGCTGAACCATGGAAAAAAGTGACTCCCAATAATTCTCAGACTGACAAGCCCCAAACCTGATGGGGTGCAAGAAAGCCCATCATGCACCTTAGCGTTTCCTTTGTGACCAAAAGACATAAAAATAGTTCCCAATTGCAGTTTCAAGCCTCCACTAGGAATTCAGGACGTGGCTGGAGATAAAATATTCAGCTCTCCAGCAAGCAGAAGGGTGGAGGGGATCCTTTTCTGCAACCAAGCATCATCTCTTATTCTCTCTGATACAGGAATGGGGGCATTCCTCCCCATCATAGCCCACAGGCCCCCAGAGAGATTTCAGGCAAAGTCACACTACAGAACCCTTCCTTATGCCTGACACTTCTTAATCCTCCAAATCTGGAAAGTTTGCCTCAAGTCAATAATTCAAAGCCCATTTTCTGAGTTCTAGAGCTAGGACCTGTAGAAAACAAAGTTGGTCCTGACCCAGAGAAACTTAGCTTATGATTCTATTTTCATTTCCTTTCCAACCTAAAAAAAAAAGAAAGAAAGAAAAGATTTAGGTGTA